GAATAATTGAGAGATTTTTCCCTTGTTGTTAGTTTCACTTCGGGATAGGGGCCTATTTGAGTTTTATTCCATTTATTTAGATTCATATAGATTGAGAAATAAACTTGGCTCGTGAAGTGGTTCACGAATGTTGTTGAATGTTATTCTATGAGATTGATTTATCGCTAAATTGATGAGGATTGGAACTTGATTTTATATGTTTGTTGCATAGGAAGTTGGCAGGAGGTAGTCGGGGTTAAATTTTATTAGTTGGGTAGTTAATGTGACCTAGAGGTGTGCGAGAAATTCTGGGTCGTTACAGTAGATATGGCGTAACCTTCCTTTTGCATCTTTTTTTTCGTTGAAGAAATTTCAGATCTTTCATCGAAGATCATTAGGCTTTTGAACTCAATATGAGTTGTAAAATCATAGCTTGCTTTTGCCAAAAGTTTGTATGCTTTAGGGTCGAATCCATCCTTTGTTCGTTTCTCAGGTAAGACCATCTTTATCTGGTCGTCCTCGGGAGTTTTGGACCCCTTGCTTTATTATCTTTATTAGAGACATGGTGAAATTCTCCTTCAACATTTCTCAGGTAATCGCTTTTGTAACATATACACACTGCATATATCAATAGATACGCGTATAATTACTAGTGAATTGATGGTGAGTTGTGGTCTGCACTTCATTTATGAGGTCAATGTCAGTATTTACAGTGGTCTGTGTCACACTTCCTTTTATGAGTTAATGGTGAATTGTGGTCTACACTAGAGTCGCATTTCTATTTATTGGGTAAATGTCAGTATCTATAGTAGTTTGCACTTACATTTCTTGGGTCAATGTCGGTATCTACAATGGTCAGCATTGGGTGTCGCACTTCCATTTCAAGTTCAATGTCAATATCTATAGTGATCTACACTAGTGTTGCATTTTCAGTTTTTGATAAATGTTGGTATCTACAGAGGCAATCCCTATAATGTCATCCACAACTAACTTGTTCCTATGATTTGTGTGCACAATCATGACCTATAATAAAGAACTTGAGGGGAAAAGAGGAGGAAAGTAACTTCAGGGGGCTAAGTTACAAACTCCAACAAGAAATGGGAGAGGGAGAGAGAAGCAAATAGAAAAACTAAGATTAAGAGAAAAGCAAACAAAAAGAAAATTAAATAAGACTAAACACAGTCTATGCTCAAGCTAAGGGTAATAGATATCAGGAAACTTTTGCAATCATGACAAGGCCTACTGTGTAGGGAGCTACAAATACTAAAACAGATTTACATGCTTTCACATCATTGTCTCAAACATCTTAAAAGTCATGGTCTGAGTGATTTGTTTTGGTCTCAACTACCATCATATAGAATTGCGATTAGTATTGAATTAACTATTGCCGAGGGGAGAGCTTGGAAGGATGAGACTTAATCCATCGTTGTAGCAAAGAGCTTGTAAGAATGAGATCAAATCATCCACCTTGAGCACTATTTGATACAATTGGTGGTTCAATTGGTCGTTGTAGAGGAGGAAGCTACGGGAGATCACCTTGAGACTAAAATTGAAATGGTGGAGATATAAAATCAAATCAATTAAATTCCTTAAATATGGGAAACAATTTATGTTTGGTGGTTTCAAATGAGAAAGGACAAAAATAGATTTAAGGGCAATGTTGGAAAATCATCAAATTTTTAAATATCCTAAAATGTAGTTTAGCTATTTGTGCAAAATGTGATACTATCGCTCATTTTTAAAACGGGTGTCAAATTTTATCCCCCTCACCTAAACTATCCAAAAAAATGTATTATATAAGCTAATTAAAGTCTGATCCAAATGGCCGATCCAACTTTGATCAATTGAGTTAGGCTAATATAGTTAGGCCATGAACTTAAGTTTTAGTGGCTCGGTTGTCCCAAGCGCGACCCAAAGAATGTTTGAGCCCTTAGAACCTGGGCCGTTGGCTCTTTTAATTTGGTCGTGCTAGCCTGACCCATCTCAACAATGAGACTGAGATTTGGGTTTGAAGTGTATTTAGTACTTCAAGTTTCAAAGCGATACTTTAATCCCTAATGTTTGGAAAATAGTTTTAAATGGTTCTTGAGTTCATTTGATCAATACTTGATTAACTCAATAAATGATATGGCAGTTAAGTAGATTGTACCGTCCTAACATGGCAAAATATATCAATTTAATATTGTTTTTTTATTCGACATGAGGTGACCTGTTTCTCCTCCCGTTCATCTCCTCTTTTTTCCACCTCTTCCTTACTCTCCTCCGACCAACCTTGCCGACACCACCACCACTGGCCATCACTCTTCGTCAGTCGTAGTCACTGTGGTATTCTCTTCTCTTTGATTTCGTTCTTCTCTATTGTCGCTAATCCATAGGAACGAAGAACGAAGGAAGGATCTTCACTCATTCTCAGATTTGGAATGATGACATTCTTAGATCTAGAACAAATGTTCTAGATCCGTCCGGAGCGTTCTGGATCTCCTTCATTCCAAATTAAATCTCATGTCTAGAACGAAGGAGATCTGCCTACACGAAGGAGACTCTTCATTCCATATCTACCCTAAACGAAGGACTTCATTCCAAATAGATTTGGAATGGAGGGTATCCTTCATTATAGGTTAAGGAATAATGAAGGACGAGCTGCAACATGATTCTATGTAGTCTGCCACTACCCTTGTGGTAGGGTTGTTGAATTGACGTCCTGGCGAGGTCATGGAGGGCATTGGCAGCGGTTTCGTTCATCTACACCACGTCGTGCCATATTTCATTTCTCGTACATAGCATTAGTGACGACGACAACTAGTGCGAGGAGGAAAATGGTAGCGGAAAAGGTCATGGGAGGGAGGGAGAATGAAAATGAGAAGGAGATTAGGCGAGGAGAAAGATGTCACCTCATATCCAAAATCACCCCACGTACATATATCCATGTTAGCAAGATACAACCAACAATTCATTGTCACGTCATGTTTTCCATTAGTCATAAATAACGGTAAAAAATGAACTCACCAACTATTAAGAAAAATTTTCCAAATCGCAAGGACTAAACTGTCTATTTTAAAATTGTAGGGACTGACACTAAATAAAAAAAATAATAAAAAAAAGTGGGAGAATTATTTTTTTTTCTTGACAATTTACCCAACTCTTCAATTTTTAATTTCAATTATGTCATTAGTGTATATTTTTTCATTTGATTCTTCAATTATATAATTTATCTGTATTTTATAATAGAAGTTGAAACAATTGAGAATCCATTTTGGGCCTATTTATCATTTATATTCTTTTCAAATTTCGAACCTAACTGAATTGAGATAATCTGTGGTTTATTTTTTTCATTACTTTATTTAAAATTAAAAGTAGTAATTATGTTATTGAATGAAAATGAATCAATGTCCCTCAAATTGAAAAGAATTAAAAAATTAAAAAATTAATGTAAAAAACGTATGCCTTTTTTTTTAATGGGCTAAAATGTTAAAAATAACTTTTAAAACAAAACATAAAATCGTTATGAAATAAATCCTTAAATTTAGAAACATGTTAAAGTACATCACAAGTGCATTGTACATAAAAATTTTATAATATTGTTAAAAATTAAATGTAACATGCTCTAAAAAAATAATAAATAATAAATCTAACATAATAACTTTGAACATTCTATTTTTTAACAAAAGAGAAAAGAAAAAAAAAGTTAGCAAACACAAATTTGGTTCTTTTTCTCATATACAAAAATTTATGAGAAACCATAAACTATTGCTCGATACATATTTGGAAGATCAGTACAAATTTAAATAGTTCAGCATATGTTCCTCTTTTTGTTAGAATCTCCTCCTACTTATTCATGATCCAACATTTTCTACTTAAAACAATATAACAAACATTATTATTTTTTATTAAAAAGAATAGAAATAGAAATAAGAAACAATAAAAAGAGAGAGATAAAAAGAGAGGGATCGGTAATCCTCTCTTTTTATTGACGAACATCAGTTTAACTCAATAGTTAAAATACTTCATTCTTTCCTTCGATGTCGGAGGTTTGATCCACAATTGTTGTATTAAAAAAAATTGATTTTTAATTTTTTTTTAATATCCCGGCCAACTTGACAAAGTAAAATCAAAGGCATTAAGTACATTTGGAATTGAGTTAGGCTAGAAATAACAAAATATAAATGGGGAAAATTAAAAAGGTGGAGGGATAAGAAGTTACATTTTCAAGCCAATAATAAAGATTTCCTTGAAAAGAAGACCATATTTTAAACTCATCATATTAGCCACATTATTGCATTATAAATCCCTTGCTTTTTTAGCTGCTGCTGCCCCCTATTATCTCACTGTAAGTTTCCTTTAGTTTCTTCACAAAAGCTTCCCTACAAAACATCATAAATAAATAATATATAGAGAACGCAAAATAAATTAAAAAAAAAAAGAACTTTGTTGTTTGAATCTAAACCATGTTAGAACTCACCTGTCTGGTTTGAAAACCACATGCTTGTATGCAAACCACTGCAGAAGGATTTCATTACCACACACAAATTTTAATTAGCCAACAATATTATTCATTGAAGCACGTCGGAAGCTAAAATTATATATAAAATGCCTTTTGATTTATGTTGTTGGTTTCAATTTCACACTTAAAAAGGTTTAATTTTTTTTCTTTTTGATAATTAGGAGTCAGAGTTTTGTTCTCCTATATCCAGAGGCACTTGCGTCCATGCCAAGGCCCAGCCGGAGAAACATCCAATGATTTTGGTATGAAGTTTAACCGAAGATTTGAAGTTGATACCTCTATCACTATGATCAAAAGATCCCAACTTCTTGCTCACTAGGTTGCCCCGGGCAAGAACTTTTAGAATATTTAAGACAAATTGCAATCAAATACATAGGTCGGGGAAAATTGAAACCGAATACATAAATCTGAGCCAAAATTGAAATCAAATGGAATAGTTCTTGAGAGACTAAATGAGACTTACCCCAGTGTAGCCGATGCCTACAAGCTCGAGCAGCCCAGGCACTAGAGGAAGCCTATCAATTGCCTGTTTAG